TCTCCCGAGCTACGCATCACAACCTACAAAGAATTCACGAAGAATGTGCTACCAAGGATAAAACATCTTGGATACAATGTCATACAATTGATGGCCATAATGGAGCATGCATATTACGCGAGCTTTGGCTACCAAATCAACAGCTTTTTCGCCGCGAGCAGCCGGTTCGGCACCCCAGAAGATCTGAAAGAGCTGATAGATACCGCACATGGCATGGGCATCACAGTGCTCCTGGATATGGTCCATAGTCATGCGTCGAAGAACACTGAGGATGGTCTAAACCAGTTCGATGGGACAGACAACCTGTACTTTCATGAAGGTAGCAAGGGCGTGCATGAGCAATGGGATAGCCGGGTATTCAATTACGGGCATCATGAGGTTCTACGTTTTCTATTGTCTAACTTACGATTCTGGATGGAGGAATATAGATTTGACGGGTTCCGTTTTGACGGTGTTACGAGTATGCTTTATACCCATCACGGCATTGGAAGGTAAGTAACCCGGCAACGACTTTCGTGAATGCCCACTGATACGCGTAGTGGATTCTCCGGGGGCTATCACGAATACTTTGGGCCCAACGTCGACGAAGATGGCGTTATATATCTCATGCTGGCTAACGAAATGCTCCACAACTTGTACCCTAATTGCCTTACCATTGCAGAAGATGTTTCGGGGATGCCTGCACTATGTGTGGCGTTATCCCTTGGGGGCATTGGCTTCGACTATCGGCTTGCTATGGCGATTCCAGATATGTACATCAAGTGGCTTAAAGAGAAAGAAGATGCGGATTGGGATATGGGTGCTCTGACGCACACTCTCGTCAACCGAAGACACGGGGAGAAGACAGTCGCTTACGCTGAAAGTCACGACCAAGCGTAAGTCGGTTCCGGCGATACCGTAGGATTGTGCTGACGGACTATGCCAGGCTCGTGGGAGACAAGTCACTACTGATGTGGCTATGTGATAAGGAGCTGTACACTAATATGTCAATCCTCTCAGTATTTACACCTGTCATCGAAAGAGGCTTGAGCTTGCACAAGATGATTAGACTCGTCACGCACGGTCTTGGAGGGGAAGGATATCTCAACTTCGAAGGCAACGAATTTGGCCACCCAGAATGGCTTGACTTCCCTAGAGATGGTAATGACAACAGCTACTGGTATGCTCGGAGACAGTTCAATCTCCCGGACGATGACATGCTACGATACAAATTTCTCAACGAATTCGACTGCAAGATGCAATGGACCGAGGAGAAGTACGGCTGGCTACACTCGGACGAAGCGTGTCTTAGCTTGAAAAACGAGCAAGACAAAGTGATTGTATTCGAACGGGCTGGACTTTTATGGATCTTCAACTTCCATCCTACTCAAAGCTTCTCAGACTACCGTGTGGGCATAGAGGCGGCGGGGACTTATCAGATCATTTTGGATACAGATGACCCGGCTTTCGGTGGATTTGGAAGGAATGCCAAAGGGACAAGGTTCTTCACCACACCTTTCCGGTGGAACGAACGGAAGAATTTCATTCAGGTGTACATCCCGGTCCGCACTGCAATTGTGAGTCATTCCGCTCTCGTACACGGAGCCATGCTTTGGATATAAGCTGACAAATGCCTCGACAGGTGCTTGCATTGGAGTCTACGCTTTAGACCGAAGGAGCACCAAAGGCCAGCCTGGCCCGTCACGGCGGTGATGATATTGCACCTGGTCTTGGTATCCTAGGGTAATTGGCTAGGTCGTATATAGCAGCTTTGAAATCGTCTTCGTTTTTGAGCATCATGAGACCCAAGATAAGTGTTTTGTAGAACCCAATGAGCCCGTTCGGCTCCCCCCGATGCGGAGCATGGACATTTGGTGGGGGAGCCAAGTCCGCCGGCAGCTCGGCGTTTACCCGAAGTGACGTGCCCCACCCAAAATTTCCTTTTCCAACAACGACATCATCAACAACAACGCAAAAAGGAAAAAACAAAAAACAAAAAAGGTCCCCTCAACTATTCCCAACTCTTCCATTCTTTATTATACACATTAAAGATAATCATGTCTGAAACACTCGTTGGCATTAACGGTTTCGGCCGTATTGGCAGAATCGTCTTCCGTAATGCGTATGTGCCCCGCCGTGCTTTTTCCCTGTCATGCCGGCAGCGGAGCTCAAGATAATAACCTATTGGCAGCGTCGAGCACGGTGATGTGAAAGTCGTGGCAGTCAATGACCCCTTTATCGAGCCTCACTATGCTGTAAGTTCAGACTGAGGCCTCTCGATTGTCAACGTCGCCGAGTCTTCGGAAGCTCGGACTAATTCGACATTGCTTTTTCCTAGGCATACATGCTCAAGTATGACTCTCAACATGGCCAATTCAAGGGCACTATCGAAGTCAAAGGCTCAGACCTTGTCGTCAACGGCCAGACCGTCAAATTCTATACAGAGAAAGATCCCGCCAACATCCCATGGAAAGACACAGGCGCATACTACATCGTTGAATCGACTGGTGTCTTCACCACCACCGAGAAGGCCAAGGCCCATTTGAAAGGTGGCGCCAAGAAGGTCGTTATCTCGGCACCTTCCGCAGACGCGGCCATGTTCGTCATGGGCGTCAACGAGAAGGAGTACAAGTCCGACATCGAGATCATCTCCAACGCCTCTTGCACAACCAACTGCCTGGCTCCTCTCGCCAAAGTCATGCATGACAATTACACCATCATTGAGGGTCTCATGACTACTATCCACTCCTACACTGCTACCCAGAAGACCGTGGATGGACCTTCTTCAAAAGACTGGAGAGGTGGACGCACCGCTGCTCAGAACATCATTCCCAGCAGCACTGGTGCGGCTAAAGCCGTCGGCAAGGTCATCCCCAGTTTGAATGGCAAGCTTACGGGCATGTCTATGCGTGTACCTACTTCCAATGTGTCAGTTGTTGACTTGACTTGCCGCTTGGAGAAATCGGTCACCTATGATCAGATCAAGGAGACGATGAAGAAGGCTTCAGAGGGAGAGTTGAAAGGTGTGACTAAAGTAGTGAAACGACACTTGGATTACAGCTAATCATAATTAGGCATTCTGTCCTACTCGGAGGATGCGCTTGTTTCCACTGACTTGAATGGAGACAATCACTCCTGTATCTTCGATGCTACCGCCGGCATTTCCCTCAACGAGCATTTCGTCAAGCTCGTTGCATGGTATGACAACGAGTGGGGCTACTCCCGCCGTGTCCTGGATCTCTTGGGTACGTACCAATCTTTGGCTATGTCGCTAGGCGAGCTCTGCTGACTGTGCAATAGCCTATATCTCCAAGATCGATCACTCGAAGTAGGAATCAGGACAGAGCGCTGGGGTTCGATGCATGCTATGAGCGACCATGTCTAGGCCTCGAGATTATGACCTCTCTGTGGCTAGTACGGTGGCTATGTGTTGATGCGTTGTCAAATGGCTTAAATAGATACATGTGGCCAAATGAAAAATCAAAACCATGAACAACTTTTCCAAATACCACTCACTACTCTTTCTGCCAGACCTATACAGGATTTGGGAAAGCAGCCATGCATGTCATGCATGCACATAAGATTTTTTTGACGGCACCGTCATAACCATCACCGATTCTTGACATGTTTTTCCCAGTCTCACAGCTTGGCGAACAAATTCTACGTTGAAATATGGAGTGAAGCGATAGCTGTACACCCCCTTTGTGCCCATCCGCGCCCGCCCCCCCCACTTCTCCAAGCCAAACATTCGGGTACTATCTCCGGGCTGATTGGGCTAGGCGCAGTGTCGGAGCGCTTTAAAGCCGGGTTAAATTGCTACCTGAGTGCGTGGCTTGTGAACCGGATCCTCCCTCCCTTCGGGGATCCCCTCCTGTACAGTACTCGCTCCTACACAGTTTTCGGTGGATATTCGTATTGACCCGGAAAGTGCCCCCAGAATGCAAAACAGAGTGCGTCGGGTCTGACACCCATGGTGCCCGGAAGCTGTACGCTAACCGTAGGCGGTTGTGTCCCCCAACCCCTCCCAACTTTGAATACGATACTTGTTTTTAACCCACAAGTGCGGTTGGCAATAATAACTTACCGAGGTATATTTCTTGAACGACGAATCGCGGAAAAGACCATTCGCATACAAAGTGGTCTGGAATATCAGAGCGCATAAAATGGATTGCAAACGGTCTTTTGTTAAATAAGATGATTGGAAAAGGATGTGATACACGTACACCCCCTTTTGATACATGTACACCCCCCCAAATCCGATTAGCTTCCGCGCGGCCGCTAGTTGCATGAGGTATAAACCTCGCACATAGCCGAAGTAGGGCCGAAAGAGGTGGGATTACACGAGGCGGACAGCGAGGTAGTCGACAGCGAGGTGGACGTGGTACGCCAGCCTACATGCAGAGTAACGAGATCATATTTGATACCTTTCAGCTGTAGGAAGGCTAGGTGGCCAATAGGTAGTGGATATTCGAGTACGATAGGCGTATTTCTAGTAGCAACGAGAGAGGGTAGCCAGCCAATCAGCTATCGCCATAGAAGGACAATCCAAAGACCTCATAATTCGATGATTTGAAACGGTCTGATCTTTTAGACTTTATCAGGAGAGGTCTGGGAAGACTTGCCTTGCTATCACCAAGAGTCTCGGCAATATTCCCCAGTAAGCTATGTGCGAGGTTTTTACCTTACCTGTTATCACTAGGAAACGCAGTTTACTAGGAAATGCAGTTTTTTTAAATCCGATAAATCCGGCGCAACATCAAAATGCCTACTTCCCACTAAAATATGGCCTGGCCTACTGTCAAGGAAATGGATGACTGGGTCATGAATTCATGTGTGGTGTAAAAGATGTTCAATATTCTAGGTGCCCGCAGGGCAGATATGTGCGGTGCCAAGCCACGCTAGGCCCAAATGGGTGGTGGCTCTGGAGGAGGCCTTGGCGTACCGTAACAACATGCCCGCAAAGAAAGAAAAAAGACACGTCCTCGTGGCCTATGCCATTGACCAATCAGAATACACCGTTGTTACCGGCCATGATGCTCCTGATTCGCCTCCTTATCGTAGTAATTTGGCTGTGATCGTCGCAGTAGATCCTTCTCTTGTTTGCTCATTCCAGTGATGTGCCACACTAATGTGATATTGCCTAGGCATGCAGAGATAGCAGGCCAAATTGTAGTGTCGTTCTCCGCTTGCTGAGTGGCGATCTGACGTGGGATCGTGGAGAGTATATGACGTGGGATCTTGGAGAGCTGAGCCGTGTTCTTATTCTTCTCCGCAGTTTTCTCCGTAAATTTCTCCGCAGTTTTCTCCACATTTGCCTGTTGCAGATCGAAGTATCCCATCTCCTCCGCTCGTAAGTCGCCTAAGTTTGTATGGTAGGACGAGTCGTTCGTGTGAGAGAGTTTCTGCTGTGGTATTTCAATGCTGGGAAGCGGAGTCGCATTGGGATCCGGAGTCGAATTGAGAGGCGGAGTAGGATTGGGAGATGAAGTAGGATTTTGGTATAGTGCGGGGCCCAAAAACTGTTCGATTCTCTCTAATCTCTGCTCAAATCTCTGCATTTCTTGACGCATCATACCACCAAATGCAGTCATTAGGTCATTGATCGTAGCTTGTGAGAGGCCGGGGACCATTGACTGTGAATCTGGTGTGTTGAAGGCTTGGTAAGAGGTGCTTGGCACGAGTTCTCCGCTTGTTTCTCCGTTGTTAGAAGACATGATGTGATGTCAAATGGCCTAATGAAAGGATTGACTGTGTGGTCTGGTAGGCTGGTGAATAGCCTAATTGTCTGATTGCGTAGACTGAATCTAGCTGCGTAGCGGAAGCGCAAGGGAGCTGACTGTCGGTATATTGTGACTACTGGTCGAGTGACGATATAGACGACTTGGAAGAGGACCTGGGTTAGGTGTGGCTACCAATTGTCAAGGAAATGGATGACTGGGTCATGAATTCATGTGTGGTGTAAAAGATATTAATTATTCTATGTGCCTGCAGGGCAGATATGTGCGGTGCCAAGCCACGCTAGGCCCAAATGGGTGGTGGCTCTGGAGGAGGCCTTGGCGTACCGTGACACCTACCCTAACGCACTGAAATCTATATTCTAAAGAGTATAAACTATAGAGTATATTCTATAGTATAATTCAGAATTTAAATAATATAAATTAGTTTATTATTAACTAAGTAATAATTAATAGAAGGATTTAGAATTATCTATCTTTATTATAAGCGTACTCTTAATACACCACTCAGCCCTATGGCTTAGTGCCTTGACAGGAGGCATCTCCTACTATATCATGCCTCCTTCCTACATAAATAGTTCGGTAGCCTTATTATCCTTGATCTACCTCACCCATACTGATATCGTACCTATGCTAGTCTTGACAATCTTAACTATAACTTACTTTTTAACTAGTAATAATAACTTCATAGTTATTATAGAAGCTTTATACTTATAAACATTATAATTAATATATACTACTATCTATTATTCGAGTTTAAGATTAAGCGATTTTAATAAAGAGTAATAGATTAACTAGAGACGAAAAAGCTCGCTTAGCTACTAGCGAGTAAATATTATATTTAATATTAATATTTACTTTAGAGTAATTAAACTTACTTACTATAATAAATTCGACTTATAGAAGTAGCTATATATCAGTATATATAAAAGAATAAGGTAGGGCTGAGCTTGGAAACCTTGAATTTGTATGTGCAGCCAATCATCAATTCGGGTCCTGTACGCTTTTTGGTTAGACCGGCTGAGTCAGCCCGGTAGCCCTCCCGCGCCTCCCTCATCAAAAATTTGTATGTAGAAGTTTTACACTTTGAAGTACTCAGCTTGCGATACATACAGTTACTTCATAATTCCTCAAATTGTAGAGCTCGCTTTGCGCTTTCTAACGCTGTAAAAATTATGAAGTTTGGCCTACTATTGGTGGATTAAATAAACATTCAAATATAATAGTCATGGTAGTCACACCAGACGCGTCCGGGATCGGATAATAATCCTTCCACCTGTTTGTGTAACCATTATTCTTCCACCACTCTACCAATTCTACCAATTCCACCAATATGAACACAATCGTCTTCGGTACCCCTCGCCCAAAGGTTACTCAACGTTTCAGGCACGTACACCCCTTTTGCCCGCCTCTTAGAGCCCCTACTGACGCCCCCAGGCCACCCCTCGGCGAATCCGCTACTGCTGGCAATCGAGGCCGCAAGCGAGCCCAACAGCTACCAAACGCGTTGGAAGGCCCTCAAAAAGAGCCCGAACGGATACGTCCTCCCCTATATACTCCTCCCAAGCCAGCGGTAGGTGGGTTAAACTGACATTCAAATATTGTAGTCACACCAAACGCGTCCGGTTCAGGCACGTACACCCCTTTTGCCCGCCTCTTAGAGCCCCTACTAACGCCCCCAGGCCACCCCTCGACGAATCCGCTACTGCTGGCAATCGAGGCCGCAAGCGAGCCCAACAGCTACCTACTACTGCTCATAAACGCGTTAAAAGGCCCTCAAAAAGAGCCCGAACGGATACGTCCTCCCCTACATACTCCTCCCAAGCCAGCGGTAGGTGGGTTAAACTAACATTCAAATATTGTAGTCACACCAAACGCGTCCGGGATCGAATAATAATCCTTCCACCTATTTGTGTAACCATTCTTCTTCCACCATTCTACCAATTCTACCAATTCCACCAATATGAACACATTTACCCTCGGTACCCTCGCACTCAGTTAAACAAGAGGAGGATCTACAACAGGCGAATACGGAGAACACTGCGGAGAACATTGCGGAGACAGTCATCAGCAGCAGTGACACAACAGGCCTACTCTCCACGATCTCACACCAATCCACTCAGCCAGTGCAAGAGAAGTCAATACAGCAGGCGAATGCGGAGAACACTGCGGAGAAACCAAGCGGCAACAAGGCCCCCAGCACCAAGAACACGGCTCAGCTCTCCAAGATCCCACGTCATATGCTCTCCACGGTTCCACATCAAATCATCACTCAGCAAGCGGAGAACACCACTACAACTTGGCCTATCATCCCTACTATATTGATATGGTACATCACTACAATAACGTCATAAGAGGAGGATCTACTGCGACGATCATAGTCAATTAGGCCTCTACAGGAGGAACATCGCAAGAGGAGGAACTATAACAGGCAAATGCGGAGAACACTGCGGAGAACACTACGGAGAACACTGCGGAGAACACTACGGAGAACACTGCGGAGAAACCAAGCGGCAACAAGGCCACCATCGTCAAGAACACGGCTCAGCTCTCCAAGATCCCACGTCATATGCTCTCCACGGTTCCACATCAAATCATCACTCAGCAAGCGGAGAACACCACTGCAACTTGGCCTATCATCCCCACTGCATTGATATAATACATCACTGCAATGACGTCACAAGAGGAGGATCTACTGCGACGATCACAGCCAATTGGGCCTCTGCAGGAGGAACATCGGACGATACATATTTGGACGAATTGAAATCGTCCGATGTCTTGCTCTGACAGCTATTTCATTATTCGAAAGATTTCACTGCGGCAGGAGATAATGTGGGATTCACACCACTAATTGGCATGTTGTCTCCATTTCTTTCCGGTATTTCGATACTTCTTGCCATAAGGACATGGCCTTTCTCTGTTTTTTATGGGCAATTATTACGGATCAATTCTTCACACTCGATACACCTTCCTAATTAGGCCTTAGCGCGCCTCTCTCCGCATATATGTGCCTGTATATAGGTCAAAAACGTATAGCAAGCGATCAGAGTTTGATTTGACTTAGGGCTAGGGCTAAAATTCGATTTAACTTAGAAAAATTCAACTTCATAAATTTAATTTATGGGCCTTTACTTGTCTATATAGATTATAAGATATATATTATTATTATATCTAGTTATTATAGAATTCTGATAAGAAGTAGATATTTTAGTGTTGCGTCGGATTTATCGGATTTTAAAAAAACTGCATTTCCTAGTAAACTGCGTTTCCTAGTGATAACAGGTATGCGGCTAGCGGCCGCGCGGAAGCTAATCGGATTTGGGGAGGTGTACATGTATCAAAAGGGGGTGTACGTGTATCACTTCCCAAATTAAATTGGGGGTGCCGTGGTAAATTAAAACCTAACTAAGAAGTACATTACCGGGCAGAGACAAGTGAAATTGTCTTGGCAGCGAAGAGAGCTCTGTGAATGCATTCTTGCTACCGCCCACTTTAATAAGGTTCGTTCACACGGAGACTGGACACTACTACAAACACTTGATTATACTGTTCTCTCACTTTGGTCTCGCTCATATATCACAAAGCAAGACATTAGCTTGTAAGTTCAAAACTTTTCGTAGTGTGAAGTATGAATGTTCTACTTGCCTTTGCCATTGGTGTCTATTGTTGCCAAAGCTCGATGTTTGGAGAGAGAATACTATCACCTTGTTTCTCCTTTGCAACTCTCATTAGCCACAAGAAAAAGTTATGACAGTAATCATGTGAATTCCGAGCTTCCAGAACGGACCAGTACTAACCCCAGACCTCTTTCTCTACCAGAAGAATTCTGAATTCAGACCTCATAGACCATGACTTCAAAGTTGTTTTGAAATTGATACCGCCAGGCTCATTCTATCTTCCGTAATATGCTGCTGCGGAGAAAGCTCTTTTATGACGTTATCGCTTGTCAACAAGGACATGGACCCCTACGATGATGATTCACAAATGCTGGATGTACAAGAAAGCTATTCAAGAGGCACTCTACACACATCTGTAGAAGTGGAAGGACCTATTCATGGCTCCATTCCTTCCACAAGCATGGCTGGAATGTTGGCGCCCAACGGGGATGCGGAGTATCTGAACCTAGCAACGAAGCGACTCCAAGAACCATCTCGAGAGTCTTCCGTCTTGGCAAATAATGTAGCAAACCATCTCAGCATTGAAATCTCGGAGGACCCAATGCAGCAGGAACTTGACGATTTCATCGATGAGCTGGATGAAGCGGAGCACGGGCCTACGGCGCCGTACGTCTCATCATTACCTACCGGACTTTGCTACGATGTCCGTATGCGTTACCACTGCGAGCTCGATCCACCAAAGCAGAGTCGGGACTTTCATCCTGAGGATCCGCGGCGGATTTTCAAGATCTACAAAGAGCTATGTATGGCCGGCCTGGTCAACGATCCTATGCTGAATACCGGGAATTTGATACCCAACCCGCTTCTTCGGATCGACGCTCGCAATGTCTCCGAGTCGGAGGTTTGTTTGGTACACGATAAAAGACATTGGGACTTTATGGTGACTACTGCAAGTTCGTATAGTACCGAGCTTACACATTGGTCATGACAGCTGATGTCGCCGTTAGGTATGGCACCAGACGATCTGGTTGTCTTGGAAAGAACGTTCGATTCTATCTATCTGAATGTGACGACTTTTAGATGTGCGTTACTGTCTGCTGGGGGAGCTATCGAGACTTGTCGGGCGGTTACTTCACGGCAAGTCAAGAATGCCATTGCGGTGATCCGACCTCCGGGACATCATGCAGAGTGTAATCAACCGATGGGGTTCTGTATCTTCGATAACGTCAGCATTGCCGCCAAAGTTTGTCGGTCGGATTTTCCAGAGACATGTCAAAGGATCCTGATACTTGATTGGTATGCTCTCCTCCAAGTTGAAAATAGCACTTATTGACTCGTTCGGTGTTGTAGGGATGTTCATCATGGTACTTGGGATTTTTCGCCGCTCCTAACGGACTTGGCTGACAAATGCTAGGTAACGGCATACAGCAGGCGTTCTACCAAGATCCAAATGTTCTGTACATCTCTCTCCACGTTCACGAGGATGGCAATTTTTACCCTTCTGGTAACTATGGTGATCATTTGCACTGTGGTGGTGAGGCTGGATTAGGAAGGTACGTGGTACTTGGAGCCTTCGGGTCATGACTTCCGTTAATCTGTAGTGCAGGAACATTAACATCCCCTGGCCCACCAAAGGCATGGGCGACGCAGACTATATGCTTGCCTTTCAGCATATTGTCATGCCTGTTGCCTACGAGTTCGATCCCGATTTGGTGATTAGTGAGTTCTCGTAGGCAGAGATTTCAAAGGATCTCTAACAAGCTACAGTCGCCGCTGGATTTGACGCTGCTGAGGGCGATCAACTTGGCGGCTGTTTCGTCACTCCAGCGTGTTATGCTCAAATGACACACATGCTTATGAGTCTTGCACAAGGAAAACTTGTAGTGTGTCTTGAGGTTCGCGTCTCCCCTACGTATCTACTTCTACGGCCTTCTGGCAACTCCTGACCGCCAACTAGGGTGGCTACAACCTCACATCAATCTCGAAATCGGCTTTAGCTGTGACGCGAACTCTTATCGGTGAGATGCCAGACCGGATACGAGATACAAAAGCGACGGAAACAGGCATCGAAACCGTTCAAATGGTGGCTATGTACCAGTCTCGGTTTTGGACAAGTCTTTACCCCAAGAACGCGCATCAAGGTTGCTCTCTTATTCAAGTGACCATGAGCCTAGCTGATGACCGATCCAGACATTGGCAATAAACATGGCGCGGAGCGCATGCACGGTATGCAGCTTCTACAGTTCCATACCCTGACAGAATTTGACCCTAGCCAGATGTGATACGTTACTACCAAGCAAGCCAACTCAAGGAGAACCACAACATGATTAATGTCAAGGTGTATCGCGAGAAGCTTTCCAAGTCATTTGAAAATCAAGTGATTGCAACGTAAGACACTTGTGAAAGGCAGCCGAGTTCATGAGTGACCAGTGTGCAGGCCCAATTTTGAGGAGGCAGTGCCACTAGTAGTGATCTTCCATGACCCGTAGGCAGTATCGTATCAACTGTTTAGATTCAAGGTACTGACTTCAGCTTAGGCCGGAATTAATGGGGACGCCACATCCTGTCACCCATAAGCTGGAGTTGCATAATACATGGCTCGTATGTTACACGTTTCACTTTGCAGCGATCCTTTGCTGACCGGCAGAAGGCTGATGACTTGAAGCATTATGTCGATTGGGCCGCAAACCTCGGATACGGAGTTATTGACGTGAACGTTCCTAAGCACCTCACCACTACTGAAGTATGTTCAGGCCTCGAAAATCATGACGGTATCGCTGACTAGTGCATTAGGAAAACAAAGGCTATGGGGTAGAAGATGAGGCCGAGCGTTTTTCTGCAAGCAATGAGCTTGCTGTATATCTTTGGGAGAACTACATCGAGTACGTTCATGCTCTGTATGACTTCGGAGCATACGTCTGCTGACGTTCCATAGTTGCAATGATGCCACAGAGATCTTCTTCTTTGGCGCCGGATTTGCGTATGAAAGCATTATACATCTCCTCATCAACCGAGGTCAGTGATGTTTTCAAACCTCATTTTTTGCCAAAGCAAGCCGCCAGCTGACGATTTTTGCAATTTATAGAAGAAGATTTCACCAAGCGGGTCACAGGTATGGTCAACTTCATCTCCGGAAATCGCCTGAAAGCGGTCTCAGACCACGGCTTCTTCCAGCATGGCCAGTCATTGTCCAAATGGTACCGAGCAAATTCTGTCAATTTTGTGGCAAATAACCATCTGGTCTGGGATATAGACGGTTCTAAGAAACCCTCGAAACGCTTTGGGAATCTCGTGCGGAGTCCGGTCTGTGGCTTGAACGACATGCTTGGGCAGCATCAGGAGGAGGTACAGGGTTTCATCACAAGGAGAGTGGTCCGGAGAGACGATGACATCGAGGAAGAGGAGAAATTGATGTGATTATTAGGTCAGACTTTTCCGGTTCCGCCTGTGATACGATGGATGTTTTTGAGACCTTTAGAATCTGTGAGATGATATGACTGGCGTCTGGGTAGATTAGGACCAGGATATCACACTCTTGTAGATATCAAGCACTGTCTATCCTGCCACCACTGCAGTTGAACAGCAGGCGGGCTATCAGAATCAGTGGCAGTTCCGCCAAGAAAGGCAACGAGAACATTAAAGGCCAAGTCAACAATGAAAGGATTTCGAAACTCACTTTTGCTTGTAGGAATATAGGTATTACTAACCGTAGCAACTTTGTAATTGAAATAATCTTCTTGAAACCTCTTCTTGTTGAGTTCTCGTCGATAACTCGAGGCGCCAAGACTGCCACTTATTCTGGTGGTCAGCCTGACAGGCATTGATATGGATTTCTTGGCAGATGACTAAGCGCGCTCACCGCCAACCTGTTGGCGCTAATTCCTCTATGACTTTCGAGCTTCTCCTTATTCCTTTTCGCAGCAATCATGATATCCGAAACAACCATAGCCCTTCGAGGGTTGGCCTCAAATCTGATAGGTGTGCTCCAGAGATCATCTCAAGATGCATCTCTATCGACTCATAGCCCCAACGACGGGGTGTTCGCCGGTTGAAATCCCTTGAGATATACCATTCGACGAGAGGGGAGTGCAGCTTGCACAAACCCTCGTCAATTACAGGGGCGTGAGAAGATAAAAGGAAGGGCTGAATAGTAGGTCATGCTTCTTTGCTAATATGACCGTAGCTAATTGGGTACAAAAAGAAAGGAGCGTGAACAACAAGAAACCTCCCCTCCCCCAAAAAAAATCAAAACCAAAAAATTGCACGCTTCACAACACCTATTCTCTCAATGTATATCACAGATCTAGCCAACGAACTTCTCCTACACATCTTGCAATCCTGCCCGACCGTCCCTTCCCTCCTCGCCCTAGCTTCAACCTGCAAGCATCTACACTCCATCTTCGCCCACCACAAATTACCCCTTCTCTACCAATCCTTCGAAGCCCAATACGGCCCCTCGCATGATGCCATCCGCCTTGTCACATACAACAGCAGCCAATTCGCTCACTTACCACGCCCTGCCCCACCGCAGTCGATGGCTCTGCTCAAACGCCTCGTCGAAGTAGGACTGATAGCGGAGAAATGGGCGACTGTGTATCCAAGCCAGAAATGGACGGGAGACGAGAGTGCCAATCGCCGGCTGCTGTCTAGCGAAGAGAGATGGAACTTGAGGCGAGCATGCTACCGCATCTGGCTGTACGATATGGCGTTCCACACACCGCAGCATGCTCGTACGGGCAGGGTTCTGCCGCAGGTTGTGAGAACGAGGGCGCAGGTACTGAGGCCTTGGCCTGGAGAACAGTTGGCGGAGATGTTGGATCTGTACGCTATCTTTCGCGCCATCTTACATTCACATATCTGTCCTAGCAATGGCACTGTTCTACGTCGCCACAAGCAGCGATTCCCGGACGATCCATTCCCGCTTGTCTCGACGACGAAGGAGACGAAGTACAATGACCCGCTTGTTGACTTTCACCAAGCCTTTTTTCACAGCACACCGCACGTCTCGGGATTGTCGATGGCGAGAAACCACCGCCAATATGGGGCCACCGTGGAAGGATGGGGCGACGAGATTGCTCAGTACTACGTCGTGGAGGATATGCTGAAGCTTGATCCCGGGCAGCTGATGCATCTGTTTGAGAGCCTGACGGGTCAAGCTGGTTCTGATGCAGAGTTGACGGCGGGCTACGGTTTTGGCAGCAGGAAAGCAATGGTAGAGCATTTCGTGGCAGCCCTGGGGGACTGGTTTGAGAACAATGGGGAGACGTTGGTTGAGACGATTTGTTTTGTCATTGGGGAACGTGGTGGTGATGGAAGGGAGTTGGGTGAGCTGGTTGAGGGTGGGTTGGAGGGGATTTGCAGGAGGGAGCTTGTAGATCTTGTTGAGTGAAAAATGGGTTGCTTTGATGGGTGAAGACATTTGAACTGCACATGCTCGAAGAGCTTGAGCCATAGATGTGATGGACTCCGTATATGGGTACAGTGGGTACAACGCTCCTTGGTCAAGCAATGCGATACTAGAAAACCGTTTGTTTCCCACTTCCTGTGCAACATTGACATCTTCATGCTCGCTCATAATCCCATTGACTTACTCGATCTCGTTATGCGAGACTTTTTGATAAGACCCACTTGGTCCTCATCCTCGGTCGCTTCCGCACGCATATGCACCGCTGCTGCATCCTTCCCATCCTCTTCTCCTGCAACCCTCTTGCCTACCTTTGCCGACTTCTTCTCAGCCGACGTCCAGCGCCTTTTCCTGCCCTGCCCCACCACGCTGCTTCGGCTCCTTGCCCGTGGCTGTAAGCGCTGACCCCGTCGACAGTCTGGGATTGATCCCGATGATTGATATCGAGGCTGCTCGGGCCGCCGGTCGTTGATCTGGCGGCAGATGGCGGAATCGACCGCTTGGTTTTAGGTGTGGGCGGAGGCTTCTCTTCGGAAGGTCGGTAGACTCGAGCACGCTGGCACGGGGGACACGATGTTGGTAGGTCGTATGGGGAGCCTGAAAGGTCATTGATGCGGGCGTTGGAGTAGTGGCAGAGGGCGACTGGCAAGTGTGGGGAGGGCGTTGGAGTGGTTTGAAGCTGAGGGGCAGGTTGGAGTTGGGTGTTTGGCTGGGCTATGGGATTGGCTTGGGCGTTGGGAAGCAGCTGTTGGTTCTCGGGGTGGGAAGCTGCAGGATATTCACCATCGGCAGGCTCAGGGAATTCACTTGGAGCCGCAAAACTGAAGCTCTGGTGGGGTGAGTATCTATGTTGAGGACTAGAGCTTTTTCCACGTCTACCGCGGCGTCCACGTTGAAGAAATGCGATTTTGCTGTCAGTGCGACTCCTTCGTCGATGAGGTTGCTTCTTAAGGCCACTTTTCTCGAAGACCTTTTGCTCTGCCTTCAGTCCCGAAAAATCGTTCTGATCAAAGTCAGCCTCGAGTACATACTCTGAGATGATTTCGACATTGTTGTTTTGTCTCCGGCTCTTGCTCCGATTTGTGAGGTTGGCATCGTGACCAACTGCACTCTGCAAAGAGCCTCTACCAGCTACCTGCAAAGATCCACTTTTCTGGGCTGCGGTCATAGGTAAGTACTGTCGAGCTACACCCGCTCGCTGGTCCGTTGAATAGGATTGCCTTCCAAGTGCGGATCAGCAACCATTTGCAGGGACGAAGTCCAAGGAAGGGATCAGCATACAGCAGGGCCGGTGAGTGAACTCTTGAAACACATAGGCCAGTACCTTGCGGAGTGGCTGTAGCCGGCTCTTTGGCCCCTCCACCGAAGTCGGTCGCTTTGGTAAGATGACCTCGTTTGATTTCAACTGCCGTTTGAGACCTCACATCCTACACCACGAAGGTCAAAGAACTGTGATAACAATGGGTCTACTTTCTCACTACTCAAATAGGAGGGTAGAAATGAATTGAGAAGTCGAATTTGCTTTGATCGAGGTCTAAGGGAAGGATGGAGTAGTGTTCTTCCCGTCACTCTGACACTAGCCTAATAGCATTCACATGTTTACTTGACCTGGGTACATCAACACCCGTGAAGCTTAATTAGGCTTGATTATTGCAATTACAACACTTCCCATAGTCTATTCTCGCCCCTTTGTGGAGCCATGTATACAGAGCATCAGCAAGGCCACCAGCTCTGCCTAAAAGTCTCTCGGCGCTAAAGAGAACACGCAAGGTGTTAACGGTAACGTCGAAGGTTCCATTCTTAAAATAATAACCTCTGTTTCAAAGGAGCAGCCCAGCGTGCTCGCCGAAATGAATCTTCGCGTGGTGATACCTGATATGCTGAACTTGCATTTGTACTCTAAGGCTATGTCTTTGAGGGCAGAAGCCGAAGCACAGCAGGATGCGTTTGCTGTGTCTTACAGTCGTTGCGTGACAGAACGTGGCACTCCATTCAGCTACTACCGGCAAACTTCTGACCAAGTGCAAAGCACAGCGTTATCAAGACTTCATAGACGCTTCGTGCAGGCAGAACTTGAGCATGATCATCCGGCTGTCAGGATCGTCCTCTTGAATTATATAGCAGGACTTCAAGGCCGCCTGAGCAGATACGAGCTCGCGTACGACCGGAAGACGTTGCGAGACGACTACCAAACCCATGATCTCAAGGCTGAGATAGAGTTCCTTAGACGGACTCTTTGTTCGCTCCTTTTGCAGCCAGTGGCGAAACCAGAGAGTCGCGAGCAGACACGGTCCCAAGGTGTGGACGCTGTGAACATGGAAACAGACGTGATCGCAGCTGAAGCAGATGTGAAGGAGCAGAACATCCATGAGCAAACCAGTAGTAAGGTTTCGGATCCAGGAGTGAGCGACTATCCTATGACGACTGGCCACGCCGAGATCCAAGCCGTGAACGAAGCAGCCAAAGAGGTATCGAATGCCGTTCTCAGCCTGAAGAACTTTATCGAGGATCTGCCATCTCAGTCATCACAGGACCATCAGACTATTCTACACAATAACCTAGAGGGTGTAAGTCGAGGTCTATCGCGGTTTCCAGATTGCTTGACCTCTCTTCTAGTGAGGCGGAAGGCCGATCTGGATGCAACCAGAAAAGATAAAGATGTCGCAGCTGAAACCCTGACAGCAGCCGAAGAAAAGATGATGGCGGCAGAGGCGAAGCAGATGGAATTGGTACTAAAGACTGAGGCTTTCGGACGAGACAAGGATGTGGCTGACGAGAAGATGGAAGAGGCGACGGAGCTGTTGCGCGCCGTCGAGACAAGAGAGAAACTTGTTGCGGGTCGCGAGCGCAGAGTCGTGAGGCTGGAAGAGGAGCAAGCACTCGAAGACTTGCACCATGGTGCGAATGCTGCGATGGAAGACGAAGCCGAGGCAGCAGCTGCTGAAGCAAGAGAGAGTGAACGTTGGACTAGCCCGATCATAAGACCCGGTGCCGCTGTGAAGAATGAGAAGTCCCCCACATATCTCGAGCAAATATCCAATTCCATCTCCGCAGGAGAACACGTCCTTTTGGAGATGGACACTGCCATCGCAGCCAGAGAAGAAGAGTTGTGGCACAAGGAAAATAATCTCCACCACCGCGAGACCGCCCTCTTCGCCCGCGAGCAGCTCCTGGAGCAAATGAAAACCGCCCAGATCCAGCTGGCAGAGAACTGGAAAGCGCAGGTCGACACTTCATATGCTGGCTTGGAAGCAGAGGGCGAAGACTTGGGGGCGAAATTTCGAGCGTTGATCGCTCTGAAGAGTAGGGTCGAGGAGACGCAGGCGAAGGCTAGGAGTTTGATCGGGGAGGCGAGGGGGATGGTCAGGGTGGGTGGTGGGGATAAGGGCGAGGATGAAGGGGCTTGAGGATTGGATTCCCGAGTGACCGATGACGAGGAAGTCTCTGGGAAGCTTGGATATAAGGCTCGTTGACGGGAGAATTTGATGTTGACCTGCCCGGATGGAGGAATCGGAACCAAATTCTTTCGACTCTAGTCCTGTAGCTCATTTCAACAACACGATGAGTCCAACACATCCGCATTTCTGTCTGATTGCACGCTTAAGGTTTTGGGGCTTGAGTGTGCAGTATATAACACCCAAAAGTGTGAGGGTTGTAGAGGTCGTCCGGGCCGTCACATGTTTCTCAAAGTGTATCGAGTCATCCTAAATCAACCCTATGCCTGTTCAGAAGGCGCCTTCCCTTTCTTCTTCTCCTGTTCCATTTCTCGCTTTGCAGTCGCCAACTCCTCCTCTGATGGCATATTCACAATCATAAGATACATGACATTCTGTAAGACATAACAGTCAGCCATCCATTTCTGTTCCTAGGATATCAAAAACATCGCGATCGACTCACCTGCCTCAACATCTTCTTTACGGGCTTCTCCCTTCTGATATAACCGACCGAGCCCCGAATCAACCCTAGCCCTCCCCTCCCCGCTCTCTTGCTTTGGTTCTTATTATTCACCCCCCTCGGATCGACTTTACCCCCGGTGACCAGACTGATCAAACTCCCACTACTCGCGGGATGATTTGGATCCGCATATCTCGACTTGAACTCCGGCGCTCCCGTCGAGAGGCTTGAGTCAGGATTCTCAGCATTGTACGTAGCATTGGCTCTACGATCCATGTATTCGCCGATGAACCTGCCGCTCTTCTTGAACGCGTTTGGTTTCTTCCCAGCTTCTTCTTCGTCGGCGGCGGCGTCGAGGTGGGGAAATATTAGGGGAGCGGCTTCGGGCAATTCGAGCTCGGTGTGGGTTTTGCCGGATGTGAACTTGAGGTCGTTCTTGAGCTTGGAGCCGAGGGTGTCGGTGTCGAGGGCTTTGGAGACGTCGTGCGAAATGTCCGTTGGGGCGGAAGACCAAGGATGGCGAGATGGCTTGTAGGTGACCAGCATTGCGTAGAGACCGCGGGGTCGGAAGAAGTGGGTGTTCATTTCGTCGAGGAAATTGTTTGTCCTGTGGGCGGTGGTTAGCATACCATAACCCACAATAATGTTGGGGGCAGGGAGGGGGAGCAGACCTGTGGCGTGATTGAACTACTATTGCTGCTCCGGCGGTGGCTTGCGTGATGATTGAAGCGATCATGGCCGAGACACTGGGAGCGTAGCCTGCTACATGACCAGCGAGGAAGATCACCGTGAAGACAGGCGATGCCTGAAGACGTTAGCTTCGACATCGGAGAAGCAAAAATATTCAGATGAAAGAGCGTTTCCTTACCTGACTAGCCTTGTAAAAGGTCTTGAGAAACTCGAGGAAAGCATCTTGATCAATACCGCAATCAGCAAGCACAGGCGCATACGCCCTCACGAAACCACGGCTCTTCGTACGCGGTCGTCGCTGGGGAATAATGACCGGACACGGCAATCGTCCCGTTCCATGCGTAGGTGCTGGATGCGAAGTGAGGAATTTCTGCACCAGCTTATGGACGTCAGGTTTAGCTTCTCCACTTTCGGGCTCCGCATGATCGATTTCGCCTCTCACCGAGGGCGAGTAATCATATGCTGGTGGATCTGGGCCCGTCGCTTCATCAAGCTCCCAATATGCTTCGTCATCGTCGGCTCCCTCTGGATCGCCTCCGTTGACTTCGTGGGGTGCGCCAGCGGGTAGAGCTTTGCCTTGATCAATCAATTGCCTGGCTTCATGCTCATTAGCAACCTCGACCAGCCCATAATCTGTGGAGCTTGGGTCTAGAGAATCATATGCAGGTGGTGCTCGGTTGGCGCTGCCACTCGCTGGGGCAGACGGCCCAGGCGAACGTGATCTTTGCTTATTTTCTTTGCGGGCAGCAAGGGCTTCTGATGCGAGACCGATGCCGGAGCCTACAAGTCTGACAAGAGGACCCATATTGTACTAAGTGGTGGAGTATATAGACTAGGAGGAAAGTTCAGTTGCTTGAGACACAACGTGCAAAGACTGCTAGAAATGATATGATATACACTGTGTTGAGATAGAGGAGAGAAAGATAGAACTTGAGATAGAGAAATGCGAAAGGGGAGACAGCCTCTACTTATACCTGGCGACGTGTTCTTATATTCTATTTATACACGGCGTAAAGAGTGCAGATGGTTTCAAAGGGAATGGCACAGTTCACACAGGAAGCATTTAATTGACTGTGGAGACTTCCTTATATCCACAGCCTCAAAGACCCTGTCAAGAATCGCGAGCTGCTTGCCACTCGTAGACTAGTGTATTCTAGCGCTGTCGCCAGCGGAAGATCGTACTCTATGGCCGATAGGGCAAGGCTATGAATACTGACTAAGTAAAGTACGTACCAGGAAGAACTCGGAAGAAAGCATATGCTTCACTTTCCACACACAGAATCCCCAAGATTCCATTAATCATTCACTTACAAGATCTCGTGATTCACGGGGTGTTTCTCGAATCTTCTTCGGCATGGAAGCGAGCCAATCACCAAAATATACGAACAATTCGGTTCGACTCACCTTCGCCAAGAATGTCTATTCTCCCCCTCGCTCCCACCTCCAAAGGCAATCTTTTCTTGCAGCTATACAGAACCCGCAGAATGTAGATGAAATCTCTCGAGATCTTGCAAGAAAAAAGCTCGAGTTGACGAGGTTATGGCCGTCAATCAGTGGTGGCAGTCGAGCTATCATTCTCGGGAA